GCTCATTGGTTAGCCTCGGTTAGCTCATTGGTTAGCCTCGGTTAGCTCATTGGTTAGCCTCGGTTAGCTCATTGGTCAGCCTGCCCTGGAACCATATTTAGTTTGAATGTTGATCCTGGTGGACTGATCATATCGGGCTCTGAGACTGCTTATTTGTTGTGACCTCAGTTCTGAGTTGAGAGAGAATGTTTGGTCTCATGGTGGCGTTTTGGCACTTTAAATGAGCGCCACGGTCTCTGAACAAATGAGACACACTGGCTCTGAGCTCCCAGTGGGCAGGATGAACATGAATGAGTCCACTCAGGGTTAAGAGCTCTGTTCTCACTGTCCACTTTCCTCTTCTTGGAGAGCGCCATGTGTAATTATGTGTCTCTCCCTGTCTGCCACTAACACCCCTGTTCACTCTCTTCTCCGCTTCTCTCCCTCTATCGCTAATTATTCTCTTCACTCACTTTCCTCTCCGCCGTATCGCTCACTCCTCTCTTCTTCTGTGTTTCTCTCCCTGTATCGCTCACTCGTCTCGTTCGCCCCCTGACTTTTCTACATCCAACTCAAAGGTTTATCATTACTTTGAGAACAAATATTATTAATTTAACCCTTTTAGAAGTTAAGTTATAGTTGTTTGTTCTGGGAATGTCTTTTTCGAGCCTGAGACCTGAAAAACAGGCTCGGGGCTTCAACATGTCCTTGTATTTAATCAAACCTCTTATTTATATATATTTCACACCAGTGAGTAATCTTACCTTAGGTTTGGTCTGACCCTCCTGCTCGGGCTTCTTCTCCCTCGGTTTCTTCTGAACAGCTTTCTCCTCCTCCTCCTCTTCTTCGTCCTCGTCCTTTTCTTTATCATCCTTTTCGTCGTCGTCGCTCTTGTCCGCCTGTGGAGCAGATTTCTCCGGTTTCTTTCCCTGGGTCTCCACCGCTTTAGTCGTGGGTCTTGAGATCCTTGGAGATCTTCGGAGAGACATCCCGGTGTTTGTATCAGACTCTGAATCCTGCCTCTCTGCTCTCGGAAGCGCGGCTTTCCTTCGACGCGCCGGACGTTTCGATCTTCGTCGTGAAGCCGGAGTTCCTCTGCCGTTCGCCACCTCCTTTTTTGGTGCCTCCTCGTCATCTTCATCTTCATCGCTTTTGCCTTCCTCCTCAGCCGGCTTTTCCACATCCGGTTCTTTGCTCGGGTCGCTGGCTTTCTCCGTTTCCGTTGAGGATTTGCTGTCGTTTTTATTTTCAGCTTCCGTGTCCTTCCCGGTTTCCGTTTTATTTGCAGAATCTGTTTTGCTTTTGTTGTCCGTGTCAGTCTCCTTTTTCTTTGATTCGCTGCCCTTTTTATTTTCGATTCCCGGTGTCTTTCCAGAGTCTTTGTTCTTTCTCTTTTCCGAGTCTGTGTCCTTTCTCTTTTCCGAGTCTGTGTCCTTTCTCTTTTCCGAGTCTGTGTCCTTTCTCTCTTCCGAGTCTGTGTCCTTTCTCTTTTCCGAGTCTGTGTCCTTTCTCTTTTCCAAGTCTGTGTCCTTTCTCTTTCCTAAGTCTGTGTCCTTTTTCTTGTCTGTGT